GAAAATTTCTGATGTTAACATTTCGTTTTCTAGGCATATTAGGATAACGATAGAGGTGGTCATATTCTCGGAAACCGGATTTATTCTTTTCTGAAAATCGAATCTCCATTCTATCTCACAATTTTTTTTTGAAAACCGAAATCTTGCGAAGCCTACCAGCATTTCGTTTTAGCCTTTAGGCATATTAGGAGGTTGCCATACTCTCAGAAACTGGATTTAGTTCTTTTCTGAAAATCGCATCTCTACTCTATTTCGCAATTTTTTTTTTCAAGATCGCATTTTTGTGAAAGCCGAAACTTTGCGGAACCTGGCCTAGATCTCGCTCATAGTACTCTTCTGACATACCTCACTCATAGCAGATCAACAGATATACAAAAAAAAAAAAAGGGGGGGTTGATCCTCTTCTTTAAAGTTCTTTTATTTTATTTATTTATTTTAGTCTGTTGATTAGGACCGGGAGGAAAGTATAGCTGGGTTGGTTACCTACCTGCGTTTTCCCTCTCACCCACCCCTTTGCATGCATTCCTGGGTTGGTACAGTGCCACATCAGCAGTGTCACATCAGCAGTGCCACATCAGCAACAGTGCCACATCAGCAGTGCCACGTCAGCAGTGCCACGTCAGCAACAATGCCACATCAGCAGTACCACGTCAGCAGTGCCACAGTGCCACGTCAGAAGTGCCCCGCCACCATGACGGGCTCAGTTCTGGGCATGCCAGGCCAACTGGCCAATGAGTCCATTGCCGAGTACCGACAGCGTTTCGAAGCTCAGCTCGCACTGATCGAGGCTGAGGAACAGCGTCAGGTGGCAGCCAAGGCTGCCCACCTACAAGCTGAAGCGGTGGCAACAGCTGCAAAGCAGCGGCTTCAAGCCGAAGCAGAAGCAGATACTCAGGCACGCCGCAAGGAGGCCCATGATCTGTTACAACGGCATGAAGCCACCAGCATCGAAAAGCTCAAGTTCTGGCACTTTAAACCATCTGAGCAGCACAACGACGCGACATCGGAAGAGCAGCACAAGGAGTTCCTTGCCAAACTCGTCACTTGTAACCACCTGCAGTCCGAGCTGGCGAATCTCCGACGGGCGGTGCAGAACCACAAGGCTCTGCACGAGGATGCTACACGGGCACTCGATTCCCGTGTACAGGACTTGGAGCAAGTAGCACCAAGACCAGATGCTGGCACAGCCAGCAGTGCACCCTCTACCCGCCAATTGGAGGAACGAGTTGACCACGTCGTCACAATGCTCGGCGACATCAGCACCTTCGCTGCACCAGCCACCATCAGCAAGCAGTTGGACACCTTGAAGACCGAGGTTCAGCAACTGCACCAGCTGCCCAACAAGGATGGCAACACCACGCAGCACTACAAGATACCGACATTCCGCATCGAAAAGTTCGATGATTATACGCACTAGATGACCCGTTGCGGCTTCGCCCGCAAAAACAGAAAAAGAAAAAAGCATGAAAGAAAGAAAACGCATAAGGAACTGCCCTATCATATGCCCCTTCTTTCACAATAAGAAAAAGAAGAGCCTAAGAGCAGACGAAAACCCGCGTGCAAGAAAATAGCAGGTACCACCGAACATTCATTTTTCTTTAGCTTTGCGTGATTTGTTTGGGGAGCCGTTACCTTTGCAGCATCGTTTTTGTTTTGTGTTGTGCAAGAGCTCTGGACTTTTCTAAGAAAATCCAGTCCGTCGTCCCGTTGATGTTTTTGGTAAAGATTCAGAATCAGACTTTGTTTGCTGTGTTCTCTGGATATGTTTGTGATCAAGCGATCTTGCATGTATGCCCCGTGCTTACTTGTTGATTTTTGACGCTATGTGTGCAAGTGCATGTGCGTGTGGGTGAGTCTCAGTTTGGTGGGCTCCGATGATGTCAGTGATGATTGGCCCAGGGACCCTCAAACTATAGGAGTGCCGCTGATGTTAAGCAGGTTTTGCATTGTATGAATGAAACAATCAGCATTCAATCTGCTTGGCAGTTGCTCTTCGGGTGGGGGACTTGTCGGGAGTAGCATTGCCATGAGAGCCATAATGTCGGGCGTGCATCTTGGAACATTTCCAGGAAGGCAAAAGGCAAAAATGAAACGTAGCACGTGTCAGAGTCACATAATGGACAGCTTGGCACAGTCCCCTCCCTTCTCTCTCTCTCTCTCTCTCTCTCTCTCTCTCTTCCCTCCTTGACTTCGAACTTGGAACCCTTTACTCCACCCCGACCTTCCCCTAGCCCCGCCTCCCCCTCCGCCCCCCCAACCTGTCAATCCCCTGAGGAGTCAGTGAATAGTCCGATTTGGCCACGTGGCTGGAGTTGTGTATAGAGAACATGACAACACACCAAACAAAAAAGAACAAAAACGAAAAAGGACAAACAGCCTGCGTGATCCTTTAACCTCCCCCGGCTGCCACCGGTTCCCCCAACCCTCCTCTCTCTCTCTCTCTCTCTCTCTCTCTCTCTCTCTCTCTCTCTCTCTCTCTCTCTCTCTCT